TCACCTCTTGTGAGAAAAAATAAAGAGCATCAGCCTCTTCTGCATCCGGGGTCAACTCCGATGGTGGCTTAGCCGGGTGCGCTGATAGTGAAAAATCCATCTGTCAAGAAAGTGCCACGTCAAACGTTCTCAGGCAACTACTTTTTTTATTAAATCAGAGTTAAGTGTGCAAAGTACAACTCTTATTTCAACATAATCACACTGTGATTTCTGAAGAGGAAATGATGTAGCTTTTTAACCTCAATACAATTCACTTTTCAGCAGATTTTTCTGTCCTGGGTTCAAACTCCACTCACTCCTTGGTCATTGTCTTGCTACTCCCTTCAGCTAAAACAGCGGTTCTCAACCTGTGGGTCGTGACCCCTTGGGGGTCGAATGACCCTTTCACAGGGGTTGCCCGATTCATAACAGTAGCAAAATGACAGTGATGAAGTAGCAACGAAAATAATTTTATGGTTGGGAGTCACCAGCACATGAGGAAGTGTATGAAAGGGTCACAGCATGAGGAAAGTGGAGAACCGCTGCTCCATAACAAAGGAGTAAACCCACTCACTAGCTGGGCAGCTCTCCTGAACCCTCCAGCTCCCTTACACCGGGCTGCGACGCTCCTCGAAGGCTGCCCTCCTCCTACCAAGATATGCCTTCGCTGACAACTTCACGGGTGTTCAAACTTCCCAGAATTTTCACACTTCCTAAGGAAAATTAGTAATGAAAGCCCTGCAATCACAATGGTCTCCTCTTCTCCAACCAGTCATGGGGATGAACTAAGACTTGGCACCCTGGCATTTCATGGGGTCTCCATGAAGGAGGGCCAGTTCCACAACAGACAGCAAGCTACAATGACATTACTTGAGGCTGTCAACATGAACCATTTTTTTGAGTTATATTAGCACAGCTGAAATACAAGAACATGATTTTAAAACAAGTAAATGTAACTATTTCCCTCACACCCAAAGAACAACATTATCCAGTGTATTATATATTTTACTCATTTACATATTTTCATAATCTACAACACTAAATGCATGAAAATAATTGTCGTAGATCTTGCATTTGTTATTAAGTACAAGGAAGCCTCGGCGGTACTATGGGATCCTAACCCCAAGGTCAGCAGTTCAAACCCACCTGCTCCATGAGTGAAAGATGAGTCTATCTGCTACCATGAAAACTCACAGCTTTGGAAACCTTAGATAGGGTCACTGTGAGTCAGAATCAACTGGATTCCCATGGGACTGTGCTACGTATAATATAATTGTTGAAGTCAAATATATTGTCTAGAATGTTCCCTGGGAGAATAAATAGATGTGACAGGGAGGATTGTACAAAACACAATTATGTTGAAAAGAACTTGTCTGTCTTTCAGGACAAAGAGCAGCGGAGTTCGTAAAGAGAGTCCTGTGTGGTGGGAGGTAGTAAGGGATTGAAAAGAGGGATATGATGAGTCAGTTATGGAGATACATACGACTGACATTTTAAAATGGTACATGGACAGGGAGTCTGAAATGCAGAGTCGGTGATCAGGAACACGGGATTGCTGACTCTATCACTCAAAATACCACCATATTAAGATGGTTTCATTACCTACTTTACAATGGGTCAGGGGGAAAATTAGGCTAGAATTGAATCAACTAATTTACATTTGTTTAAGCTTTAAAATGGCCTCTAAATTCTTTCTTGATGAGATAACAGCTTCAAAAATCATTAAATGAATGTAAAAGTAATCACTGGAACAAATCGAGCATCAGTTGCACATATACATAGCATTCTACTGAAACCTTAAAATCGCAGTGTGCTCGACAGCTAATGCTCTGCTTCACTAATGAACAACACTGTGTAACGAAAGATATGGCAGCTGACAGCAAACCCAGAATTTACCACCGCCGTGTGTCCATGTGTTACACAGTGGTGGCGTATGCATTGCTATAATGCTGGAAGCTTGTATTTAAAATACCAGCATAATGATCCATGATGGACAGGCTAGAGTGGCGCTTCCAGACTAAGACAGACTAGGAAAAAAGGCCTTTTTAGCTCATGAAAACCTTATGAATCACAGCAGAATATGGCCTGACGTATTGCTGAGATGAGCATCCTAGGTTGCGAGGCACTGCAAACACACAGTGCTTTGGGGGGTGGGGTGGGGGGAGTGCAAACAAAACAATGGACTCAAGCCTAACAGCCATCAGATAGGTGGCACAGGACCAGCAATTTTGAAAGGGCTGTTATACAAGAGGATTTCAAAAAGGTCACGGGAAAATTGTTCTAATTCCATTTTTCCACAAACTTTTTGAGGTCCCCTTATATTTATCACACTCGCTTAAGAATTAGCAGTGAGGGATGAGGTCCTTCCAAAATCCTTACATCATGATGAATGACAATCTATTCTATTTCATTCAACAACATGCTACTAGGCAGCTATCTATTATGGGCTTAGTGGTTTGCTGGAAACAAACCAGGATTTGTGCTTTCAAGAGATGGCCTGGCCATCTGGGTCAACTGGACTCGAACGAACCCATGTACGCGATCATTAGTTATTCAACTTCCCCTGTGACTCAGAGCAGAAAGCTGGGAACAATAGGCACAGATGAGTTGTTTGAGCTGCTGGCTGAAGTGGGTTTAGAGAAGGAAGTAAATAAAATTGAATGGTCACAAAACAATTGGGCAACTGTGGCAATAGAAATTTATGCCATGAAGCTCGGGAGCCTTTACAAAGATAGAGACTAAACGGAAGTTATCACTAACTGGGGGTGCAGCTGCCCTCAGCTCATCATACGAAGGGCTTCTCTTTACATTCTTCCTGAATGCCAGCTCCCCTCAATTAATGGCCATTTTGTTCTTGAATTTCTAAAGATATTTGTTGTATAGTCAATATCCATTTTATTTTCTAGTTTTCTAATCTAGTTCTAAGGAGAAAATTCAAGGAGAAAAATTCTTCATGTGATAAGCTTTTTAAAATGTTAAAATGGAGTTTTCTATTGTTGCCCTATGAATTTTCAATTTCAAAGCGCACATACACTTACTTTGTGTGCTTCGATTCAAGCCTGCAGAGTTGTCGCTTGTGCTTGACTACATTTTATAATGTGCTAGTTTGGGATTTCCATGACATATACATATTACAGAAATCACACACAAACATTGGAATCAAGGATGTCACTATGAGGACTAAGATGCGCCTGACCCAGGCCACCATATTATTTTCCACTGTCCCATATTCATGTGAAAGTTAGACAATAAGTCAGGAAGCCTGAAAGCGAACGAATGCATTGGAATCATGGTATTGGTGAAGAACAGTAAACGTGCCGCGGACTGCCCGGCACAAACAGAGCACAGCCAGGATGCTCTACAAGTGAGGACGGCGAGACTTCATCTCACAGGCATTGGACGTATTCTTAGGAAAGACCAGTCCCTGGAAAAGGCCAGCATGCTAGGTAAAGTGGAAGGTCAGTGCAACAGAGAATGAGCCTCAATGTGAGGCACTGACCCAGTGGCTGCCGTGGTGGGAGCAAACAGAGCCCTTGGGAGGGAGGATGGTGCAGGCCAGGCAGTGTTACACTGTTGTAGAAAGAGTCACTGCAGGTCGGTGCTCATTTGAATGCAATGTGACCCTATAGGACAGAACAGAGGAGACCCTATAGGACAGAACAGAGGAGACCCTATAGGACAGAACAGAGGAGACCCATAGGCGTTATAAAAGCCCCATCTCAGCTGCCTTTCCGGTCAGCAGGGTTCAAATCCCAGTCAGTCACTGCGGTGGAATTATCACAGAGCTTTGTTTTGGTGTGTGCGTACCTGTTTCTTCATCTATAATTAGGGGACTAGTTATAGTACCGCTCCACACACACTGGGAACGTGTAGCTCAGGCATCTTTCTTAAGTTCTGTGGGCGACTCTAATAAAAAGCTAGGTTCACAAGACACAGGGCTAGTAGAAATCTAAGATTTCTTGTGGTATTTTATGATTTCTATACTCCAAACAAACATGACTTCAAGTGAAGTTAGATAAATAGGAATAATTTCTGGGTCTCAAATGATGTGGCAGCTGCTATGAACAGAGGAGTTTCTCAGTACATATTAAATGACGAGTTCTAAGAAGGCACTCACTTCTATTTTACATAGAGATAAATAAAGCGTTGAGGAATTTGCAGGCCCAAATCAATGGTTGAAGCTGGGGAAGGTTTTCATGTGCTTGGAACCTTTCACAACGCACTATCATATTTTCCGTATACAGCCAAACTTTTTTTGACAGGTTAGGCACCTCAGTCTCTTCAGCTATAGGTAAGAAAATCCTCAGAATTTCTACATAATAACACTGAATAATTTTTCCTTTCATCTATACATAAAAAATGCAACTGTTTGTTTCTGCAACAAAATTACTAAGAAATGACCTCATACACAGCCACTGAGAGGTATTAAGACTAATCACCTGGGGAAGTGGCAGGCTAAGTGTTAAAAATACAAATCGCTAAGTTAGCTGAGTTCTAGGCTGGCCAGGGTAACGGTCTTTGCTCCTGTGGAAATATGGACCATTCAGCAGACTCCTCTCAGGAAGTCTGCACCCAGACAGAGAAGATGTGCCTGTCTCATGAGGAGCTGCACCTTCATTCTTGGTGGAGTCCACACAGTTGCTGGATAAGAAGCTCCTAACTTCAAGGGCCCGGGTGCTGCTCCTCTATTCTAGGGGCTTCAAAAACGTTGTGGAAGTCTGGAATTAAAAGATCATATAAATTGTCACCAACCTGTTGAAGGCCGCTTGTACTAGACTGTATTTCATGCTCTGTCCTCAAAGCTTCTTTAAATGAGGGGCACGAAACAGAATTGCTTGACTTGGATAGTCCCGTGTTGTTCCAAATAGTGACACTCCTAATATTTTAGTCTTTTCTTATGATTTTAGAAACGAATAAAATCAGTTGATTACACGCCCAAGAAGATACCGCTCACACAGGCCAGCCAAAAAAGACCGAAGGAGATATGAGACAATTCTAAAGGAGGAGTCGCCAACATGGAAAAGTTTTTATTGTGATCAATTTTATTTTATAACTGCACTGTTGGGGCACTTTATGGCAATGTGGATCAATATTTATTTGCATATATTTTTTACATTCCCAAAGCAATACTTGTATACACAGTGTCCGTCCCAATAGTAGTCAGAGTTGGAGATGATTCACACTGTAGCCTCAAGGGTGCAAGAACAATCAACCGAATCTCAATGCTCAGGAGGTTTTCACAGATATCTTTTCCATGTCTAGCATAAAGCAGTGACACAGTTTCTAGTCCTACACAAATACTGAAAAACATGACCTTAAGGCATCTGCCAGAAACGACTGCATATTTATATTAACTAAATTACACACACACAAAATATTGCACAAAATCCTATTATTTTCCAAATAAAATATACTCTGTCTAAATGCACGCAATTCCCAATGTACTGACCAAATCAAAAAGGTTAACTGGTTTGCTTAAAACATACACTAATGATATTAATGGGTTTGGTAGGGGAAAGCTGTCAATACTGACATCTATTTCCTATACTAAGAAATGCTTTGGGGAGATATGATTTGGGAATTCATTTTGCATTCTCAGACTCATTCTGATTTACAGCTGTCTACTCAAATGCCAAATTAAAAGCAATCAGAACATTTATTGCAGAAAATCAGCAACCTTTACCTGAAAACCCAAGATTTCTACAAGAGTGTGAAGGTCAGATGATTATGATAATATTGTTTTCTCTTCTTGATTAGAAATTTACTTCTTCACCTTATTTAAGAAACAGCAGTCATCAGCGTTCTTGGGTCTTATTATTTGACTGTAAGTGCAGAACCCTAACAACATACTGTCACAGAGTTTTGATTTTAAAAGAGGTGAGAGGCCTATTTCTGGAGGGTGTTGCTACCAAGGTAGGAATTGGGTTTCCAAACAACATGCGTCCACACGCGGTTATCCCTAAGCTGGATAAACTGGTCCTACGTGTTGGAAGGGAGCATCAGTCCATTTTTTGGTTACAAAGTGGAGGAGCAGAACAGTGACAGGGAATCAGATCAACGACACACATTTGCTAAAAAGAGTCTCTGGGTCTATCCCTTAAAAGTGGCTACCTTCGGTAGCAGCTCATTAGACTTGGCAGAATAACGGAGAAAGTAAGTTACTGAAATTACAAACAATACGATGACTCTGTACTTGCAGCATGCTTTAGATTAAGCAGCTATTAAAAGAAACTTATTGGTTTTTGTTATTTAGATTCTCAGAATAATTACTTCTAGGAAAACTATTAGTTTTTTATTATTAACATCATCATCAGTATTATTAACAGAGGTCTGAAATTCATTTTAATTGGTTCCTTGAGAACAGGGACAATCTCAACTTTTCACTCCCGCACATTCTCAGTTACCATAGTACCGTGCATATGACTGGTACAGAGATTTGATAAATACTTTCTAAATAAATGAGTTATTAATTTATCTTAATCAGAAAACTAATCGTGCAATATTTTGGTGCTTTTCTAAAATAGGTAGCCAACAAAATATAAAATCCAACAATATTTTATAGAACAACAGCTTCTAAATGCCCACACTGCTCCTCTTTATCCCTGAAATGCCACGGGCACAAGATCTAAGGGCAAAGGGGTAAAGGCAAAAGTAGAATTTGGAGAGAATTAGAACTCAGTTTTAGAAGCTATATAAAAGACTGTGTACCCAAACCCAAAGTCTTCTTCTTTTATCTAATCCTGATATATAACAGGTGTTGCTTCTTTGAAGAAAAACAAAAACAAAAACTTTTTTCCAGTAAAATAATGGGGAATATTACAAATATTTGGTTTAGTTGCAATAGAAAATATGAACAGTAGAAAATGAACAACATTTTGATTTCAGAACTCACCTCAGTATTACTTCATTTTCCCGATATCCACCATAATACTGGAAAGGCTAGCTTAAGAGCAGACTTAGCATATTCAACACTCAATGGCCTACACTACCAAGAATAGTTGCTACTGACCTTCAACAATAACATGTAGAGTTTTTCATTCTAATCTTTAAAAATAACAGCTAATTGTTTATGTGAGAATAAGGCACAGGTCACTTTAAAATATCTTGAGACAAATATGTTACTTGTTAAGGGCTAATTATGCCCCAAACAATAGTCATCCAGCCAAATGTTTTGTAAGGGGGCTGAAAGATAACACTTGCCCCCCAAGACTTATATTTCTGAGGGCGTAGTGTTTATAAACGGACTAAAATTCAAGTATGGCCGATGTTATTTCATAGATCTCATTCTTTAAACTACCAAATCTGAAGCAAAAACTCATTCAAAAATTCCCATCAGAAGGCTGTAGGTTCTTAATACAAATTATGAAGAAATATTTGCTAGGAGTTCACTGGTGTGAATTTTTTTCCTTCTCACTTAACAGAGTTTTTCTGACATATGGTCTTTACTATGTATTTCACCAAAGTAAACCAGAATTTTGTAATGAGCAGTTAACAGCAGAATTGGACAGGAACCAAGAGTTTTAAAAAAATGAGTAAACTTGCTTTTCCTTAGTATATGTAAAGCCCATCCTTATAAGGAAAACAAGGCTTGTTTTCCTTACAAACCAGGAATAGCTATCTGTGCCAAATAAAAATATCCATTTAGCTTTTGGATATTTGTTTTAAAAACAACAATAACTTGGTGTTTTTTTTTAAGGGTTTTAAAGACTGGCCTGGTTACAACATTTATAAAGGTATGTTTTTAAACAAACGGTTTTCCATGATTTTTTCAACTAAAAATTATAAAGTCCTGATAGATTTTTTTGAATGATCTCTCAAACATCTTTTCTCAGAAGAGATTTTTTAAAAAGCTATCATCCGTGATTGGCAATGTATAGAGGAGAGATAAACTGAGTACACCAATAATAATTATGTGGAACATCGCTGCCCCTCTCAATTACATGTCAATCTTTAGCCTATCATGAAGCACAGCACCTGGCAGGGCTTGGTTTGGCTTTTCTCGACGCAATCACTGCATGATTCCTTCTCCGAGGAAAGCTAAAGGTTTGAAGTGAATTTCAGGGCAGAAGAGATGAATCTCCTGTACAGAAGAATTCCAAGCAGTTGATGTACCTGTTGTCCTAAACGGGGCTGGGGAAGCACGACCACTTGCTGTGGAAGTGTGGCCTTTACATAGGGACTGCCCGCCGAGGAGCCCACTACAGAAAAGAGATGAAAAGAGGAACCTTCCAGTGGGAACCCTGACAAGCACCACCTACCTCAGTCTGCGTAAGAGAGCCAACAGCAACATGCATGATTCATGTTAGTATGTGCCAGTGAAATGATGAAAGTAATTTTGTAATTTTCCTCCTAAAAACATGTAAGCCCAGTCCAATCACAAGAAAAACATAGAAAAATTCCAACAGAAGGACATCCTATGTTACACCCACCCAGTGCTCCTCAAAATGATTAAGGTCATCAAAAACTAGGAGCCTCTGAGAAAAGACCAGTCAACCCACTGAAATCAAGCCCACTGCTCCGGAGTCGATTCTGAGTTTTGCGATCTTATACAGCACAGACCTATGGTTCACAGCTCAGTGGTTAGCCCGCTGCACCACTGGTGTTCGTGAGGAGCCTAAGAAGACGCACAAGGACATGCAATGTGGTGTCCTCGATGGGACCACTGAGCAGAAAGACGAAAGGAAATCTGAAGAATGTAAGGAACTTTAGTTAACATAACGCATCGAGACAGGTTCACTACTTTTAACAAATGTACCACACGAAGGTGTCAAGACTACAGGATACCGTGTGTGTGTGTGTGTGTGTGTGTGTGTGTGTGTGTGTGTGTGTGTTGGCAGTGGGGGGAGGGGAGGGGAAATATAATACAGAAACTTTCTGCACTACTTTCATTTTCTGTACATCTGAAATGTCTAAGAATATAACTTATTTTAAGAGGAGAACTTGAGATAAGGGTATGAAGCCTGGTGATAGAGAATTATTAAAGAGGGAAAGAAGACATGACTTTCTTATGGTCATTTATATTACATTTGGAGGAGGGGACTCCTGGTTGGTAAAAGCATAGAGAGAGACTGGGAAACATTTAAAGTGTCTCATTTGTAAACACAACAACCCACTTCACATTGTGATGCAGTGCATCCTCCAGTCACTGAGCGAAAGCTAAGTGTGTACCTTGAGGATGGGGGAAAGCATGGCTGCAGCGTCCTTCTGTAAATAAACTCAATATTTCTACAAGAGAGCTTTTCAACTATGAAAAGGTGAAGTTTGACCTTGATTCCAAAGTAGAAAAAGTCATTATTGCTCTGTAGAACACTAACAACTTATCTTTCAAAAACTTACATGTAAGTCCATAAATTATTTAAGGATACCTAATTAATAAAGGCTTAAGGTTAAGGCAATTAGTGGGTCAACAGTTTCAGGCTAGTTTTGATATCTTAATGAGTTCATGCTCAACCAGATTAGCAGAGTAGCTAACAGCTATGTGCAGGGGTTATATATGCATACTTAGTTTAAATAAGATGAATGGCATTAAGCACCAAATACTGGAAAGTCATATGTTCAATGCATACCTCAATGTACATACAAACTTGTACCTGATTGAAGAGAGTTGTAGAAGATTTAGCTTTACATTTAAAAATCAATGGATACCATCTGTCCACAACAAGAACAAGTAGAAATGTATGCTCCACATGAAAATAAGTCTTAAATAGTATTAAGTGTTATCATTCCTACATTTCTGTTTATTACACAGCTTACATGGAATTCTAGACTGTCTCCAGAGACGTCTGGAGGCAAGTGGCTGATTTAAGCTTGGTTTCCACTTCTGTTTTCTTCTGAAATGTTGAAACCTTGTTGGAAAGCCGATGCCATGTGACATAACGACACTACTTCGTGAAGCAGTCCGATGTCTTCTGAGGGCTCTTTGGCTTCCTTCCCGTCTTTTTCCCAAGGCACAGACGTAGATGGCCTTGGCCCCGGGCTCGGTGTAAGCAGATCGTCTGAAATCTGGCTTAGTGTTTCTCTCGGGTCGGGCTTTCCTTGATCCGTCTGAGAAGCCTCTTGGGGAGCTAGCGGGAAGCCCAGGCCTGGAGCTGAAGTTGGCTTTTCCACTGGCCGAGGGCCGCTCACAGGGCCCGGGCTGAGGGCTTTTTCACTATTTTCCTCCTTCAGGATAAACAGTGACTCTGTGAAGCCACCTGAGGAAACCCGCTTCCTGGGAGATGGAGGCAGATGTTTGCCATGGAGGGCGCTGTCGTCCTGGCCAAGGTTCCACTCCACTTGGTCGCCCGAAGCACCACAAAGCAGGGACAGATTATTCTCACTGGGAGCATTGGATTTGTTCTGGAAGAAGAAACAAGTGCAACATTTTGATTAAAATGCTAGCATTGATTTAGCACTATTTCCTTTCTCCATTTTGAAATCAAAGTTAATGTCTGTCAAGACTGGGACCTTGGAGAGCCACCCAGAGCAGCTCATTCCAACCCCGTCCTAAACGGCCCTCTGGAAAGGACTAAGGAGAATGGGCTTTGGTTCGCATCTCCTTGGAATTCTGACCGGGAAAATTCCCACTCGGCATTGTTATATAACCAATGTTATGTGATGAGTTGTTAGATAATCAATGCCAAGTGTAGGAGTCAAGTATGAACAAGGCTGTCATTGCTCATGAGTTGTCTCTTGGGGTTCACAAAGTATTCATTTGCTCCATTTTGAAACACTGAAATGGGGAAAAAAGTTGGAAATAAATACATTTATGGAAATAGTTTATGAAGACTCGAGATAGAAAACAAGTTGGAAACTTGTGTCTTACAAATAAATTCCATAGAGAAGACAACTACAAAATTAGATTATAAGAAACAATGGCTTGACAGAAAATTTTCAATGAATAGTAAAAACCACCAGGATGAGATACATGGAATGGAGAATGATGTGGTTTGGTGACTAAAATAATTCTTAGTGATTAAATGTTAAGATCTTTTTTGAAGTGTTGACATTACCTATTAGGGGTTAAATGTTTCCTTATAACTAAAGTTAAAAGATCCGGCAGGCACAGGAGAGGCAACAATGTGTTCATTTAATTGCATAAGTGGGAAAATCAACTAACCGTAGGTTTGTAATCAATATCATCCATTGATCTAAAGAAATCCAGGCTCCTTGCAGCTGCGAGCTTTCCTTGGTCTGAGCTGTGGGTGCTCAGTGTGTCCAGGATCTCACCCAGCAAGTCCATTTCCCCTGCGTGAGGAGCCTGGATTCTGGCTTCCACCGAGTCATCGCTTTCATAAAGGTAAGTAGACGCCTCCTCGCCGTCTTCCGAAGACAGCCTGAAGAAAGACAAAGCGCGTGAGAGCAGCTGCAGAGCCACATCAGCCGCACTGAGGAACCTCCCCTTGAATGCTGTCCATTAGTGAGACAGCTCGGAAACCGAACGGGTTTCACAACAAAATCAATACCTGATCCCTAGACAAATTCTTTAAAGCAATGCACATATTAATTACATACCACAAGTTTTGAGCACATCCAACAACAAGGAAAGGTTCATGGTACCTTATCAATCTGGAAGAACGGCAGGGCTTTTTCCCTGAACTGAATTCTGTGGACTTGAGGCCTTCCCTCAACTAGATTCCGCACTGGGGAAGCTTGCTGCAGCTGCAGCTTCACTTTACATGGTATTAGATGGTTTTCCTCTCATTTATTTTTCATGTATTTTAGAGAAGAATGCATACATTATTTTACATAGGCAGAGATATGCTGATTGGAAGGGAAAGCATTTCTATTTTATCATACTTAAATACCTTAAAAGTGCCAAAATGCTACGTATACTATTATTCTTTTTATCCTTATTTCGTATTAAGTTTTTTTTAAACTTTGTATTAAGTTTGTTCTCTGGATACATATTTATCCCTCTTCCCATTCTGCTTGGTTCAAGGGACCATGATCATTGTTGCTGGTATCTGACCAGGCCCCTCCAGCAGGAAAGGAGCAAACTAATTAGGGAGGCTTCCTGTGCCCTCGATGCCATTCCAGTGATTTCTCTAAGACGTGCTGCTGCCAGCGGTAGCACCGTGTTTCATGCCTCTGGCTTTCCCTCTCCCAAGTTAAATTCTTCACGATGCTGCAAAACGCATCGGCTATTCTGTGAGACTGCAGGAGCTTTGATTTAACTCTGGGATGTGCAGCCTTCAAAGTGCCGCCTGTCATCCGAGATGCTCTGGCGGTGTCCCCGCACAAGCCCGCATTTACTTGCTTGCTCTTTCCATGTCCTCGTCGTCGTCGTCGCACAGGGCGCTGTCAAGGCTCCTCAGAGGCCTTGTTAAGCGAGCCTAGAGGAGGTGAATAGACAATGGGCATTAACAGTTTAAGAAGTTCCTTTAGTAAATTGTAAAGAAACGATTTTATTAGGAACACTTTTAAAAGCAATACACATTCAGGACATTTCAAGACTACCCAATAACTTTCAAAACCAGGGCAGGAGGAAGGAGAGAAAAATCACTTAATATTTATTTCAACATTTATTAGCTCTTCAAACTAATAGGAAGTAAACCCCATTATGTTTAATTTATATATATATATGCCACCACACAGTTTTAGCACTGCCTGATTTAAGAATACTTGACTTATATCATACCTACTCTCCCAGTTTCAACCATGTATTTGTCTATCATTTCTTGTATCAACCATCTGCATTCTCCCCAACCACAAGAATTTTATCCCAAGACTCTCTAATGGAGAAACAAGAGGTCTTCTTTTTAAATTGACCAGATGATTTTGATATATTGGACATGGTTCAATCCATCATAGCTATTTTGAGTTTCGAATTCTCCCATCTTTAAATTATATAATGACTACATTATTTTTTAAATACCTTTAAAAACATCGTAGTGCTCAAAGTAAAATCCATTCTCTTTAACACTTTAAAGATGTCTGTGCACTCGATTTACCCAATAAAATGCAAAGTGTCATTTGAGTCATCGACTGCTGCCTCCATGAGTATTGCCTGTGGATTCAAGCACGATGAAATCTTTGACAACTTCCATCTCCTCTCTGCGTATCATTCTGTTCAGGAGGTTTTCAGTATCTGACAATGTCTCACTGATCTTCACACGCTTTCCAGTAGTTAAGTCCTCAGAAGTGAACACCTATTCCTTCTGTGTAGTCTATTCCTAGTCTCAAAGCTTTGCTAAATCCTGTTCATCTTTGGGTAACTCTGCTGGTGTCCGAAATACCAGTGGCACAGCTTTATAGCAGCACACAAGTCGACAAACTGACAGGTGGGAATTTGCATATGTTTTTAAAGTTTTTTTAAAAAATGAGTGGTTTTTAAAAATTGGCCCCATCTTTGTCTAGTGGTAGCACTTTGATCTGTTAGACACGACCTCAGAAATCTTTGATAAACCCGCTTCTTGTGTTTGACACAATGCCTCCCTTCGACTTAAACGTTCTCTGTACTGGACCTACAATAAGTCACTTCCCTAAAAGCCCTGGTTCTGGTAAGTGGAAAATGGATTAAACATGGGGTGGGGGTGGAGGTTTTTATAAATTATCAAGGGTTCATGAGGGAGGGAGAGTACGTGAGGGGGAAAATGAGGAACTGATATCAAGGACTCAAGTAGAAAGAAAATGCTTTGAGAATGATGTGCTTGACACAAATGAATGAACGTATGGATTGTGATAAGAGCTGTAAGAGCCCCCAATAAAATGATTTTTTTTTAAAAAAGGATCTCATCAGCAGCAAGAGCCAGGAGCGAAGCTGCAGAGCTCGTCCTCTGGGCCTATCACCCCTTTGCAGTGCAGCTCGAGGATGCGGCAGACAGCGATCACAGCAGAGGAGCAGCAGCAGCAGAACCCAGACCATGGGACCGTGAGCGCGTGCAGCGGGCTTATGCGTGGGGCACCTCTGAGCAGGGAGTTGGGCTTGTTGGCCCACAGAGCTTGATGCCTTTGGGTTGGATCTTATCGTGGCATCAGACGCCACTTTAGGTATTTATTAACGGACCTCAAAGATCGTCGTAACATGTTCTGATAAACAACTTAACCTGAGCATTTCTCACTGGCATGATAACTTGTTAAATTGCTTAATAGATACTTTAATCATGGGGGGGGTGGGGTGGAGAAAATGGATTTAACAGCCAACATCTGGGTGCTCTGGTTGCTAATGACTACAGCAGCCCATCCTTTTGCATGAACAGCGGCAAACCTGAATTTGGATGCTTCAACCATGACATCACTGGACATCTGTCTTCCAATTTGGATCTCCCAATTTAGAACACTATTTTATTGTATTATATGCATAAATCATAAACAGATCCACGGAACCTATAGAAATGGATCCCTATGCCTTTACCCACTCTATGTCACTTCTGGCGAGTGATTAAAAGGAAGGATGGTTATAGACAAATAAGCCCTGGGAACCCATACCTGGAATGCAGAGTGAATTTCCCTATATGTATATTAGTCAGGCATCCATTTGGGATCTATGGTTCTGTTGTGGTCACTGCACTGGAACCAACCTGATAGCACCAAACAATGGTTGCAATCTCATTTTGTGGCTGTTACGTGGTGTCGAGTGGGTTTCAACTCATAGCGACCCAATATACCACAGAATGAAACACTTTGTAGTCTTGTGCCATGTTTGTGCCCACAGTTGCAGCTACAGTGTCAATCCATCTTGTCAAAGGCCTTCCTCTTTTACGCTACCCCTCCCAGTTTACCAAACGTGATGTCCCTTGTCAGGGACTGTCTCTCTTGACAGCCTGTCCAAAGTACATGAGGCAAAGTTACATACAGCCAACATGCTACTAAGGAGCATTCCGACCGCACTCCTTCCAAGACATTTGTTTGGTCTTTGGCAGTCCATGGTACTTGTGATATACTTGGCCCATACCATAATTCAAATACATTATTTCTGCATTCTTGCTTATTCAATGTCCAACTTTCCCATGCATGAGGCAACTGAAAATAGCATGACTTGGAAGAGACCGACCTGAGCCCTTAGAGTACCATCCTGTGTTTCAACACTTAGCAGGATGCTATGAGCCAGAATCAACTCGATGGCAAATGGTAGAGCTGGCACCACTATAAATTTAAAGTGTGTGGGCTAAATAGAAATGTGAAATGAGCTAGGAACATAGGCATCACTTAAAATAGTATTACTGTGGGAAATACATAATACATATCACCGAGACCCCTCAAATTCACACGATTTCACACAACACTTTGTTTCTAAAGACAAAAATCACTGCTATTAAACTGAGCTCTGCATGTGCTGGGCCGTATGCCAGCTAGGGGTCTCATGTTTAACTTTTGGCTCAAGATAATAAAACAAAACAAGAATAAAATTATGATGGGTCTGAGACTTTCTGTTAATGCCTTTTAAAACATGAGTGCCTATTCAAAAATGAATCCAGGTGGGTTAGGCAATAAATAAACAGCTTCATATGTAGATTTGTAGAATACTTGCTAAGAGTTTTCACTTGCACACAGGGCTAAGTGCTGGGAACCCTAAGCTGAGTAAGATCTAGGTTCTGCCAGTGAGCAGTTCAGAACTGAATGGCCGCACAGGAACTCTGCAGGCAGATGGAGAGAAGTGCCAAGGTCGGGCCAAGATCCCACAGTTCATCAAGACTAAGGACTAATAAACAGGACGAATGTCTTCCTCTTGTACCTTGTCTTCTCGTTTTCTCCCACAAAAGCTGTTTTTATATTCTATAGCTGCCTGCATACAGTTTCCCAGTTAAGTTTTGTTGTTGTTGCTGCTAACCTAATTTCCACTTTTATGAAGTTACTATGCTCTCCACCTAAATCATGATGATTTAAGCATCACAAGTTCATTTAATTTTATTTTCATATTCTTTAGTTAGCCGAGCGGAGTCCTAGGGTGGCACAAATTATTAAGTATCCAGCTACTAGCCAAAGGTTTATGGTTCAAATCTCCCATGAGGTTCCTCAGAAGCCAGGCCTGGCGACTTGCTGATGAAAGGTCAAAGCCGTGGGGACCCTGAAGAGCTCTATGCTGCACAGCTGAGCCATTGTGAGTTGGAATAAACTTGATGCCAACGATCAGCAAGTTGCTAAGCAGACCTCTATTCGTTTTCACTAGAGACAAAGTTAAGCCCTCAATACGAAAGATTAACACATAAGCTCCACAATGGTTCAAATCTATCAGGGATCATGGAGACACGGCAGGACTGGGCAAAGTGCCCTCCGGCTGCACATGAGGTTGCCAGTGCCACCTGATGACGAAGAGCAGCGGCTCCCACACAGACTCGGATGGAAAGAGAAGTGAACTGAATTAATGTGCTGCTTCCCTTTCTATGTGTCAACCTGTGTGCTGTCTACACTCCTAATGCACAGACGTAGAAATTATTCAAATATCTGACATACAATTATTGAATATATACACCAAGCTACATTATGAACTGCGATTGGAATGTGCATGAAATAATGTCTATATATACAGCAACATACACGTCAACTGCTGAATGACTTGACCTTACATATTCTGTTGAGGTCACACACAAAAATAATAAAGAAAAATAAAAGGCAGAAAATAATGCAGCTTATCAAACAAAAGGCACCATCAACTTTTGAGGTCGTCTGAGCCCACATCCTCTTTATGTGATGGTTACTCTGAGGGAGAGTACATTCCGAAGAACAAAGGCTTCTTTCCACCAGGCCCAGAATATACAACACGGGGCGGGGGCGGGGAACTACCTAGTCACAGTTGTTAGAAATAGCAGTCTTTTAGAAGTACTTGGGAGCAATAGCTTAGATGGCAGGATAGATACCACTCCAGGACCTTTGCACAAGCGGCTCCTCTATGTCCTGCTCCCACCCCTACCGTCTGCGTCCGCTCCAACACTACCACACCGTCGGCCTGCCTGCGAGTGCTCCCTAGTGTCTCAGGCCTTGGTCTCACACGGGAGCAGGTGCATCTGCCGATGTCCCTCTCCCTGGTTTTCTCCCGGTTTCTCATGAACTGGCTCAAAGGTGCTCCTTTTCAGGAAATACTCCCTCTTTTACCAATCGTGTGTGTGCGCGCACGCGCGCGCGCGCACACGCGTGTTTCTAACTCGAAGGTACACACATCTGCCAAGGTATTCACCACACTGTATTGTGATTATGGTTCAATGCCGCACCCTGGGTGGCTCAGTGGGCTCAAGAGAGCAGGCACCGTGTTCACTTCTCTCCAGACCCTCAGAACCTAGCTCAGGGTGGGTGGGGTGCATACTAGTTTAAGGAAAACTGTCAAAGTGTTTGAAAAGAGCAAAAAGATTCCTGGGGTTCCAGTCAGTGGAATTCTGGATATTGTGCAGCAGTCCCT